TTGCCAGAAAGTACTGCTTTAAAAAAAGACACAAAACTAGCTAGATTTTTTTTTTCGATGATGATGATGATGATTTATGTCACGTTGTTTAATTCCTCTCATTTTTTCTCAAAATTCTACGAAAGTATTGTTGAAATATCACTTAATTTCTGCCGTTTTTTCCTGGCAAAAAAAAAAAAGTGAGGAAAAAACTGGTTACATAAATAGCATAGCATTATTAGTAACATCAAATTGTTCTCTGTCAGTGAGCACTAATTATAGGCATCACAAAAACCTGAATATGCGATGCAAACCTATCAAATTCTTTGCAAGTAAGTTGAATACTGCTTACTGATTTTCTAATAAATTTTTCTTCTTTTGATTCTTATAACCACTTTAGTTTTACGCCTAAGGTTCCAGTTACTTTACGGTTATCTTGAACTCAGCTTTTTTTATGGTTACCTTCAATGTGACAACTGAATGTTCACAGTAAAGTTTCACAAAAAAAAAACATTCAAATTAACTGCTTTTTTTGGTGAGTCAAACACCAACGTTGCGACTAATGATAACAGTATGTTACAGTTTTTTTAATCATAAAATACTTTCAAAAAAATTACCAAAACTGCTGTATAAATTTTTAACACGAAAAGGTTTTATAGGCAATAAAAAAAAAGGTTATTGAAACTAAAAAAAAACTAAACAAAACAAAGCAAGACGAAATAAAGCAAAACCAGTATGGTGTTATCATTTCCTTTTCAACAAAATTTTACTGTTTATATTAGAGAAAAGATCGTCGAGTTTTCTCCCCATTTTTCTTTTCGCTTTTTTTTTTTTTTGGCATTTTTTATGCTTCATTAACGTTATAGTACTGATGGTTAAAACAATTTCCCAACAAATTTGTCTTTTGTTTTGTCTCACTTAAATAGTCTTGACCAAAGTCTCAGCCACTAAAAACTTTTCTTTTTTTTTCTTGCTTTTCTGTTCAGCCATAATTTATTTTCTGTTCTTTCGCTTGCCATACGATTGACTTATTAAATTAAGCATTCATAATTATATATAGTGCAGATAAATGAAGAAATAGGTGCTAGAAATATCTATTAAATAGCAAAAAAAGCTGAGAAAAAATTGGCTTGCAAAAAATACATTTTAACATTTTTGCTATTCATCTCACGACCAAAAGCAACTTTTTATGCTTTATTTATCGCTAAGAAAATTAATGATGTGGCAGTTTAAAATAACGAAATAAACAACAGCTGTTTAAAAGTGCATTGGGTATGTGTATGATATCAACTTGTTGTGATGATATTATTAGAAGTAGATTAATTACCGTCATTTATCTCATTAAATTATTCCCAGCAATCTTCTTTCCAGGTTTTTTTTTCTTTTTTCTTTTTCTCGATAACTCTTTTTTCTTCTTTCTTCTGAATTTGTTGCCGTTACTGTTCAAAAAACAATATTTTGAAGAAATAACAAAACAAAAAGAAAAAATAACCCCGCTTGTTCTGACTTTTACAATAGACCCATTGATAAAGAGTTTGAAAAAGTAAAAACAAATCAGGCTGCCAGCATTACTATCGGTGAGATTATTTTGAAAATTTAAAACGTTCTTCTTCTCTGCTATTTAGAAAAAAGTTGAAGAGTGAAATTTTTTAAATCATTATTAAAACTTCATTTAATCATTTAAACAGCATTTGGTAAAGTTAATTAATTTCGAGTGGCAGATATATTGAATCAAATACTAAGATTCTGATAAGAAATTGCTTGAGAAACTACAGTGTTTAATAGATTTGAAATTAACCAATTTCAAATTTCTAAATTACTGAATAGATTGATAACCTATTTTGAACTGTTAAAGTGATACTTGGAAAGATTTAAATCTGTAGTTTTCTTTTGTTTTTTTGTGCCTGAGCAGTAATAATTTAAAATGGCCCGCGAGACAATTTGAAAAAAGTTATGGGTCTTTTGGAGAGATTCAATTAAGCTCTATTAGGAGTACCAGTTTAGAAAAATTAATTTTGCTCTTTGTTACGGTGATTGATCAAGTATGTTATTTGGTCAATGAATATTGAGTAAAAGAAAAATCTTGAACGGCAAATTTTACTCCCAATGAATTTACTATGATTTCTTTAAATAATTGATAAAGTAGTATTTTTTTTACTTTTTTAAGCTTTTTTTTCCTATTTTAAGTGCTGCTGCATTTCCAGTATAATGGAAGCAAAGTCTTGAATAAAAACTGATTCTGACACAGACAGGTAAAAGATGAGAGAAGATAAGATGATAAAGAAAGATAAAATTTTCGATAGGTGATTAATTAGGAACGCAGCAATTCAACAATGGTTGGAACACTTCATCAGTTTGTGTTTGGAAAAAAAATATTCACGAAATAAATGATGTATTTATAAACACTGTTTGAAAA